CCCCAGTCTGTATAGAAAAAACATTGGCCAGGGCCTCTGGTATGTTAAAATGTCGTTTTCTAATCATCAGAATTCTGTAAAATCTCTCCCCAAAGTCCGGGAAATGACATTTCAGAGACCCTAGATTCAAAAATTTTCTGGGTGAGCATGCCCCGGACGAAAGAAAAAAGAATGACAACTATTTTTCGAATCGGTCTATTTTTCGAATCGGGTTGAAGCATCCTTTGGTAATGTCGGTACGTGGTGGTGACGATTATGGTGCACTTACTAATGGGTAATCGCGATGGCTCCACCCGGTACGACCATTTTATGCGACTAGATAGTCGCTAAAGTATGCGGAAAAGTGGCGACTGATAGTCGAGGAAAATGTGCACCGTCGTATGGCTGAGCCTGCTAGTAAACCGTAACCACTGCACAAGAGTTTTAGTTATAAGTGTAACTGTCCTTGCTTGGTGGATGGTGGGGAGGTGGGAGGATAGTTCCCCAGAGGGGTAGCTGGCCGGGGTTAGGGTTTGCGGTTAGGTTGCGGGGTTAGCAGGTGGGGTCAGGGGTCAGGGGCTAGGAGGTGGGGTTAGGGTTAGGGGTTAGGATTAGGGTTTGGGTTAGGATTAGCGTTTGGATTGGAAGTATACATGATGCGCGACTGACAGTCGCCATTTACTCGCATACTTTACCGACTATATAGTCATGTGGATATGGTCGTACCGGCTGGATGGCTCTCCAATTGCCTGCAGTACCACTGTACCCTGTAGGGGCGGCGCGCTATACGAATTCTATTGGGGGCCCGGTGGGTGTAAGTGAAATTTTTCTGAAGCATTTCCCCGATGTTTATCAAGAAGATTTTCTTAATTGCCATCAAATTATTTCGGAATTATTTTCGACTGGGAAAACAATTTGACGACTAACTTACACACTGGTATTACAGGTAAACTACGTGAAGCGTTCCTCTTTTGACTTCGTAACCATTTGGAATTTTCCTCATTAGCTTTGCAAATTTGAAAAACTCTTTGCAAATCCCTAGAGGGAATTTGCAATGTTCCTATCGGCTGTTGCAATCAGTGCTCTCACAATCAAATTTTCGAATTCCTTAGAAAAAGCTCGAAAATTCCTCAGATTTCCTTAAAATTCCTTAAATTGGTAAAATTACTACAAGGCCTGATCACAGAGTTGCAAAAAGTGTTTTTTTCACCTGATTTACCTGAATTTTTCGAACTGAACGTTCTTTAAAACCGTATTTTTTGAAAATTTGAAGTCTCTAGACCGTCGGAAATGGCATTTTTAGAGTCTTTCCTACCCAATATTTTAGTATTGCCTAACAATGAAGATAAGTATTGCTACTTTCAGTTTATAATGGGAAATTGAGAAAATTTTGGAAATTTGGAGTCTCCAGATCGTCAGAAAGGGTATTTCGCAATTGTCTCCCTGCCACAACACGTCTCAACGTCTTTAGTTTGTTTGATTGTTAACTCCAATTCAGATTAGAGAGTTCACTTTTTTATGCCCTGAGAATTACCTGAATTTACCTGAAAATCTACAGGATATCTACCTGAAATTGTTCATGAGCAATATTAGGGGTGTTGCACCCTCCCTCCCCCCTCCCCCGGTCGCTAGGGCCCTGAGAACTTAGAAAATCTGTAGATTTCAGAAGAAACAGCATACACTGACATTTAACTTTTGAGAATTTTAATGGAAAGACATGGCTATGTACATTTACAACATAGAGAACATACAAATATATGTAATTATGTGCATATAATGTTGCTACTTTCAAGTTTAAATCTCATTTGCGTGGCGTGGTTATTCTCCGTCAAAACGTTTTTAGTCCAGGATAAAATGTTTTGGAAATTCCTTAAAAAAATCCTCAAAAACCTAAATTCCTTAAAAAAATCCTTAAAACTCTTCAAAATTCCTATTTTTAAGGATAATTCCTTAAAAGTGAGAGCACTGGTCCAGGATAAAATGTTTCGGAAATTCCTTAAAAAAATCCTCAAAAACCTAAATTCCTTAAAAAAATCCTTAAAACTCTTCAAAATTCCTATTTTTAAGGATAATTCCTTAAAAGTGAGAGCACTGGTTGCAATCAACCTCGTTCCCAGGGCTTTTCCCTTTTTGTCATTGTCCTTTTCCCGCCTTCCCAATGACAAAAAGGGAAAAGCCCTGGGAACGAGGTTGTGGTTGCAATGTTCCAAACTTCATTTTAAATTTTCCTAACTTCCTGTTTTAATTTCCTAACTTCCTGTTCTGTTCTGAGCGTTGTTATTGGTCGATTATTTTTGTTAGCCAATTGCAACACGCAGAACAGAACAGGAAGTTAGGAACTTGTAACAGGAAGTTAAGAACTTCTAACAGGAACTGAGGAAATTTTTTTTTGCTTTTAGCAACATTGCAAATTCCCTCAAGGAATTTTCAAGGGAGTTTTTTAAATTGCAAAAGTAATGAGGAAAATTGCAATCAATTTAGAAACTCAAAAGAGGAACGCTTCACGTAGTTTACCTGTAATTGTTGATTATATGTTTGCATAGCCTGCGTAGCAGTCGCTTTATTTTTTTTTATTTTATTTGAGGATATTTTTATTTGAGGATTTTTTTAATGCGAAAAAAAGAGCGGAGAAAAAAACGGCGAAAAATATCCTCAAATAAAAATATCCTCAAATAAAATATAAAAAAATAAAGCGACTGCTACGCAGGCTAATGTTTGCATTGTGAATATTTTTCTCAATCATCGTTATCAAAGTGAGAACATGGGGGGGGGGTTGGCACCGAAGAGAAATGGGTAGGATGAACACAATTTTGAGTGAGTAAAAGGTTGGGTAAATGAAAAAAAAGCAACTCCAGGGTTGGCTAATAAAAATATTGTCATTTCTAACGCATGACTCGCTCAAATATCGAAGACTAAAAAGCAATGTCAACAGTCATTTGTCAATACAATATGTACATCAATCAGAGTCACCATCTTGATAATTTTCTGATTTGTCAGGAGGCAAATGGCGTCTCCAAAGAAAGTACATGTGCAGACAACATGAATCTTTAGACTGCTGAAAATTGCACAAGCAGTTATCAAATTCATGTCACAAAAGTGGTAAAGGACACGTGTGACAACTGAATGGTATCCTTTGGAAAATGTTTGGCCAGGGGTAGGTATTTAAGCTTTTCAATGGTTGGATAAGCCACATTTTTACCATGAAAACATTTCGCTTCGGCGGCACCCCGTGCCATAAATAATGACCGGTAAAAAAATAGAAATGAGAGATGCAGTATAATTTTTTAGAAAGCTAGTGTCTCATATTGAAATAACTATTTATTAACCTTCAGGGGCTGGTTGTTCAAAGCTGGGTTAGTTTAACCCTGGGTTAACCTAAAATTCAGAGCAAACTTCCTGACAGCTTGCCCGTAAATTTGGAAATATTTCCTCAGAGATGTTGTCTGGGTCGATAGGAGTTTTCATCTCTGAAGTTTTGAAATAAACAGACGTACATAAATACACAAACTAAAACAGCAGGTTAAATTTTAACCCAAGGTTAGCGCTAACCCACCTTTGAACAATTGGCCCCAGATAGATAATCATGTATCATACGTCGTAAAACTAATAATACGCGTGATCCCTTACACCTTAATGTTCACTTATATGTTTTTTGTTCCTCTCAACTGCGATATTTAATCTTCGAGTCTAAAAACGTTTGCGTGATTATTATGTCCTGGATGATTATTCTCCATAGCATTCATTTGGCTCTAGTATATCCAATTGACAACATCCAGAATCAATGTCAAATATTTCTTTTGAGCGACATCAAAGTTTTGAAGGTGGGTTTGACCTGATGGAATAGAAGTCCACTTCTCGGCTACACGTCATCGTCTGTCTAATGTTGACAGGATAAAATGCAGGGGGGGGGGGATATTATTTAGGATTCACTTGTAGCACCTTGACGCATTTGTTTCTTCTTTAATTTTGCTTTCTTTCTTTTCTCTTTCATCTTATCAATCTTACTTCTTAATTTTGTCATTCTTTGTTCTCCCTTGCCCCCACCTCCGCACGTCACTTCCACGTTAATCCGTCTTCCACATAGAGTACTGTGGTGAAGTTCTAATGCTTTCTGGAAAAATTAATGAATAATTTTGTTGAAAACGATGAAGGAGAAACTGCATATAAGACCCAATCTAGTTGCCACATTCTTGGACATAACTGGTTGAGAGCCATGGTAAATTAATACCAAAAGTTGTTTCGGCGCTGTTTACAGCATTGAACTTAAGGAGCTAGAGGGGGTGACTAAGTTTGCAACACTGGCTGGAATGGTCTCAAGGGTTATGTTCAGGATTGCAGATGGTGAAGCGACTTAAAAATACACCCTTTTGATAATATACACCCTTTCGATAATTACGTCATAGGGTCTGGGAGCCTCGCTCTAATGAATCGTGAGCCAATCACCTTGCGTAATTTACTAATGAGAGCGAGGCTCCAAGACCGAAAAGTATGTGTGACATAATTATCGAAAGAGTGTATTACGACACAAATCTCTCCCTGGCTCATCCGCTCACGAGCTTTATTCATTCATGATTGAAGGTGTATGCTTAAACTGAAAAGCATCACAACAACAACAACTACCACCACCAACGCCACAACTACTACTACAGCTATTTCTACTAATAAATTCCACTACATCACTACCTATATAACAACGACCATATCACTACTCCTATCACAAGTCACAACATAACCATACCAAAACAACGATAAGAACGACCATCATCGTAGTCATGGACGACATCGCTCAATAACTGTCACAACAACTATAATTATATATACCAATAGCATCGCATTCGCCACCATGTTTTGTAACCACCAACACTTAAAATTATGAACACCACCAAAAACACCCCACTGCTTGAAACATTTTGCTTATAAACAACCCACCGCTTGAATTTTTCTGCTTCCAAATTCCAGGAATGCACAACCTTTTGATTTTCCTGTTTTTTTATTGGTTAAAATCCTAACGTCTGATATACCTACGTAAAACATATAAGATAATGAAGTTCATTAAATGGAATCCCAAATATTCGCAGCCGGTTTTAGAATCAGTCTATTAAGTTTGTTAAATAAATAAATAAATAAAATGATTTTAATTATTTCCTTTCTCACGCTCGGTTTACTAGATCGCCATATTTGGGGTACTGTCCCAAACCTGAAAGGATAAGCACCGCGAAATGAGACTTCTTATCATTGTACTTGTGTGTATAATGGTAAATTTACAGTTACAACTTTGAAAAGTCGTTTTTCACAGTTGAAAAGTCATTCATTGAAAAGCACGTTGAAAAGTCGTTCATTGCCTAGATTCTTTTGCGGACTTTATCTCGGTGTAAGAACCGCACAACTTACGTCACACATGAACACATAATACGTCACACATGAATACATAATATATTTTTCTACAAATAATTAACTCTACACGCCGACTTTGATACGAGATTGATGGTGCCCGTGATCTGATTGATACAAACTTGTTAGTCTGTATTAAAGTTCAGTGATACAAAGTTGTTGGTTAACAACTTCTTGGTCCTTCTGGTTCTTTTGCTTCTCGTGGTTCTTGTGTGACGTAAGTTGTGCGGTTCTTAAACCGAGGTAAAGCCCTTTTGCGAGGGAAGACCCCCAACATGGCGGATTTTGGCCCTCGTGAGAAAGACTAATTAGTTTTTAGTTAAATTGTCGAACTCTGGTTTACGCTCATCTATTTAATCTATGGTTCTTACCGTCGAAGTCGAAATGATTTCGAATATCATCTTCTGTACACTCAAATGACAGATTTCCTAATTGAATTGCATACAAGAAAATGTTGACTACAAGTATACTTAGTCTATTAAATTTTCAAGAAAACATTTTCCCAGAACCATAAGAACAAGAAAGGAACATTCGTATATTTCAACGCAGTGGCATACAGTTCCTGAAAATTTGAGGGGAAGGGGGCGAATTTAAGTTGCAACCATATTACCATCTTTTTGTTCTTGCAAATCTCGGTTCTTTTAACATTTGCTCCTTAAATTTCATGTAAAAGTGCTCAAAATACAACATACCAATGCGTTCATGATGGTAAAATTATCGTTACAGCTTTGTTAAACACTATAAGTCAATTCCCTCAAACATTTCTTACAAATCCTTCAAAACTTACAATTTACATATGGAATGCCTACTGTGATCACAGAAATTTTGATAGTGTAGACCAGCCTTTACACATCTATTCACCTACCATCCAAGTCATGCAAAGGTTTTCAGCAAGTATGTCCCCCCCCCCGCCCCATCCCCTTGTGTCGGCCACTGCTCATTTACGTAATTCGTCTTGACGGGTGTTCCATCAGGAACCTGTCTCGTACCCAGACACTTTATTATCTCTTGGCAATATAACAGATACATAATCATGAAGTATTTAGACAGTTGGGAGACGCACGGAGGGGCTGTTGGAAAGAGTCAAGTGCACTCTGCGCATCAGCCCCTTCGCGTTTACAATACTTCATGTTAACTCGTCATAAGCGCTTACAAAGACAAATCAGGGAAATAATATATCACATAAAATGTGGGGAGGTCTAACTAGAAAATAATCTATAATTTGTACCAATAAATAAAATAAATCTTGAACTTCCTGTTTTTGTGTCGGTCTCTTCCCGTATCTCTTCTTCTTTATTCTTTTCCGCTTGTTTTAAATTCTTTCTTTTCCTTTTTGGTTGTTCTATGATAAAGAAAAAAGAACACTCGAGTCGCTGAAACATATATAATAAACAGTATAGAAAACTAACCATTGTTCGCGTCGGTTTGTTCTGTATTTCGTCGTTTCTTTTTCCACCATCTAGGCGAGACAAATATTGATGAACTGATTATTGTCCATAAACGTGTGTTTAGACTAACAAAATATGGGAGTGCTGAATAACATAAAAATAGTACAAACATAAGCGTACGGGGCAGGGGACAGCTGAGCAAAATGAAGTTGGGCAAATTTAAACGCACGCTGGGCCAAAATGTGGGAAATAATTGAAAAGCAATAAAACAATGTGGTAAAAATTTTAAGCGTTTCGAAAATCCCTCCCATACCCCGCCCCCCTCCCCAGCCGGCCCAACATAGTAAAATATGTTGCACCCTGTTGAAGGTTCCTGAATGTTTTGTCTCAAAATACAGGAAATCAAGCCCCAGAGTCTGAAAAATACCAACCTTTTGCTGGGGGTCCTCTCATTTTTCCAATTCACTACGTCCCTTTCTAGTCCCCCTAGTTACGTCCCTTTCTAGTGATTGACAGATTGTGCCACAATCGGAAATTACCAATTTTACAATGACGTCATAATGTCAGGACTTCTATTGATTTTTTAGGTGATTCAGTCAGGTGATTTTTTAGGTGATTCAGTCAGGTGATTTTTTAATGAAAATTTTACTGCAACCAAAGTTCGTTAATAAAACAGGGTTAAAACCGTTCATAAATGGCACGCTTCACGCATTAATTGCCGGCGGCCCGGCACACCTAAAATGCAACATGCTACCGTTCGTGCGAAAGATTAAACATTTGATTTTCATTTTTTTCATAAAAAAAGCGGATTCTGGTTGAGCGTTTGTACACGCAATGTGTATCAACGTGCAATGTATATAATTTTTAAAGACAAAGTGCGTATTTTCTCAACAATCGGTTTTACACAATCGGAAATACGGAGTGATTCTGCCCATTGTCTACCGATTATTAAGGCAAAAATCGGCCAGATTCCGATTATCGGTCAATCACTACCCTTTTCCTTGATGCCCCCTGAAAAATCCTTAAAAGAGGCCATACATGTTATATCATTAATCCCCCCAAAGTTCTGGTTAAAAGTTGCCTTATTTGCAAGAGATTGTGCTCACTCGACAGTTTGATTTGGTTATCAACTAAATAGCTGAATTCATATTAGAAGACCAGATTTCCGTCTGAGACGGGGAATTCGTCTAAGACGAGAAACTCGTCCAGATATAAATTCGGTTAACGACGGGTTTTCCGTCTCAACCAACTTTTCTGTCTAAGGGCCTGTTCATATGGGCAAAAGTTATCCCGGTTAACGAGAGAAATTTTCGACTAGCCAAATACTTTTGTTCTGTTCATATGGAGAAATATTATCCCACTTACCGGGAAAAGTTTCCGGCTGTGACGTAGCACTGAACATCAATTGAATTGAAAAGTTGCTGACACGACAAAAAGTTATCCCGCTAAAGTTGTGTTCATATGGGGAAAACATTATCCCGGTCACCGAGATCTCGCCTGTCAACAAGCGAGATCTCGGTACACGCGAAAACTTTTCGTCTCATATGAACGCAATGTAACTTTTCATATTATTTTCGTAACAAGGCGAGATCTCGCTCGTAAACTTGTCGAAAAGTTTTCTCGCTAACCGGGATAACTTCTGCCCATATGAACAGGCCCTTAGACAGGAAACTCCTCTTAAATTTATATCAGACGAATAAATCAAAACGGGTTTCTGCTCGTAACGCTGAAAAGAGACTGGGATGGAGGGTCTCCTATTTTTTCGTGTTTATCCGTCGGATGGTTTTCGTTTCATATTCATACTAGACTTGCTCGAAGTCTCTCTTTCATATAAATTGTCATATAGTATTGGTCCACTATAGTGTACATTACATGACGTAGTCATACCAGCCGAAATCCGTTACACGAGTTTCCCGTCTTAGACAGAAATCCACCCGCTTCTAATATAAATTCAGCTAATGTGAACATATATTATAATTACAATATTATAATATTTAATATATAGAGGATATTACATGGCGGCGCGAAGATATGACTTTTATCTTCGGGTGGTGAAATAAAAGATAAAATTGATAAAAGTCATATTTTCAAGCCACCGTGTAATGTTCTGTTTATTATATAGTCCCAAGCAAAAAATTGTGAAATTTTGAATTCACGTGATCGATATCTTCACCATAGTGCAGAAGATATGGAAAATATCTCACTGTGTATTTTTCAGTATCTCACTCTCTATTATATAATAAAATGTTAATATTATATTACTCTTGACGTCTTTGTTGTCTTTGATTGACAGTCGATGATAGCTCAACATTTCCCTAAAATTATGTCACATAAAATATTCATTGGTGTCTCAAATTACTAGCTAGTAGCTTTCACTATTCAACACCAACAGTGCTACTGAAAAGCATTGCCATTGTTTTCATTAGTCAGTGACATTTGCTAACTTCTATTCTGCAATTGTCGGCAAGAACGATTTTTGTTATCGACTAGTTCGTCAGCAATATTCATAATTGTTTTCATAACTATTAGCAAGGGATGGGCCGATACTGATACCAAATATCAAGACGATCAGTACTACAAAAGTATCAATATGTTTCATGCTTGAGAAAAGTATTGGTAATTCCCATACCGCTCGAGCCTGCGATATGTTCAATCACAACAATCAGCATAAAAGCCACAGAAATGTAGTGCATTGTTTGCATGTAGTATGACTGTTAGTGTATGCAATATTTCACAAAGTAATGTTGAATGATAGGGCTATATGAACTCAGATTTTCACCTTGTGACTGTATTTGTAAAAGGCAGAAGACACAAGTTGTACAGATAGAGTAGTTCATGATCACTTTCATTTATTAAACATGATAGTTAGTATTGGTATTGACCAAAATGGTATCATATTGAATTAAAAAACCCTAGATAAGACTACTTTGGTCTCTCCTATGTATAAAGCCTACATTTAATTACCCAAGATTAATACCCGGTATACTTAGGTTGATGATTGCTCAATATACCTCAGACAGTAATAATAATAATAATCTTATTTTTGTTCAGGGAATATTTCCATGGGGCATAGCAGTTGCATGGAAATTAAAGCAGAACATCTGAGAATAGCTGCTTTGTAAGCACAAACAAGGTAGTAATATCTACAGTATTAAAGTGTGTTGTTGTGCATGAAGCTTGCTCTCTGTACACGAGTTCCAATACAGGCGTTAATTTTATTTAATTTTATCAAAAATACATGGATTTTCTTGAATACACAGACAGAATTTCAGCTGAAATTTCTTTACACGTCAGGAATATACCAGTATATTCTCCGATCCGAGTTGACATCATCCATTTTTCATCCCACTATCTACAGATCTTGCCAAAAATGGACCTCAGAATTGAAATCTTCATGCTTTAATCCATACCGAAAGATATATACCATGCTTTAGTCTATACTGAAGACAGCATGAAATGTTTGGCACTTTGGTGTAGACACAGTAGACTATATATAAAATTTGAGGATGAAGATTTTAAAAATATGAAGATGAAAAATTGACAATGTGAACTCCGATCAGAGAAGACCCAAAAATCTAGGGCAAGCTTGTCTGCCTGGTCTAAATCGAGTACATTGGTATATTCCTGGTAAACCGCCCTCCCCCCCCAATTCCGACTGAGCCTGAAAGCAAAACCTTTCTTCTTTCTAGTTTCTACGCCAGTCACAGTGACCATCTTCATGGAAGTCATGAAGGAATGTATTAAACATTAAACACAGTCCATATTATCTCTAAACAATTTGGAAACTGGAAAGAAGTAAAAAAAAGTCAAAAGACACTCTCAAAAGGAGGCCTGAGAAGTTACATACCTTCTTGTCCGCCATATTGTCTTCATCCTAGTGATGAACTTCATGTAATATCAAATATTTTGGTTCGGCAGGCAGTGGGCCCACAAAATGCATTCACGTAAACCACGAAAAGTCGCAAAAACACTTTCAAAATCAGACCACGATTCGTGTATTCACCGCGTAACTGTGTTGTACTCCACTGACACCAGTCATCAAGTACAAATGCTAACACTGTTTGACTCGATGTCTTAGTCTAAAGACAGTCAAGATAAACAAGCAAAACAACAGGAATTCCTTACTCATCTATTCAATCCTCAGGAAAAAAATGTTCGCGCAAAAACAAGCGATTTACTATCAGGTCGATCAGGCGATGAAAAGGTTCGCGTACCCTGTAAATGTTGCTAGATTCTGCCTCCTTGTTCATTTGAAGGACTGTGGAATTGAATTGATGAGCAACACTCCTGTTATAAACAACATTGCAATTGCAAATCCTGTAATTTTTTCCGCAGGCAGACTGGTTTAATCACTTGCCGGGAAACGACGCAAGGCCAAGGCATGCAGAATATGACGCGTCGACGTCGCGCGCGACGGACTATATTCCACTAATTCCAGGAACTATTCGAGGTAAAAACAGTAACCATGGATACCCCCGCCCCTAAAAGGAGTAAAATCTGCAAAAACCCAATCCAGTCATTTTGTAAAAAATCTGCTCTGTCCTCTGAGTCTCTGACTTGTTTTGGTCATGAAACTGAGAGCCGAGTTTTTATACCAATAACATCCTCTTACAAGCTTTATCTGAATGGCGCTCTCTTGCCTAGGGAAACGATTGATAGCGTCAATCTACTGTGAAGGACCTGTGCTAAGTCTGTCTAAAAACGAAATATATTCCATAGAGTTATGCGTCTCGTCGTTGAAATCAATGTATGTAATATATTATTAACCAAACAAAATTGCTATGCACTTTGTGAGAGAAAACCTCTTTAAATGTTGCTGAAAAAGTAATTTTTTCCTCCGTTCTGTACAGTTGATACTGTAATTTGAGAGCGTCTTTTGTTCGCGTCGTGTTTTGTTAGTCACGTGCTCGGATTCAACCAATGAAGTGACGTTTTCTGTCCAGCGGGCAGAATGGACTGCTGGGCCACGAGACGTTGTGCGCAGCTCAGTAGTGAAATATTCAATTGCTACATGCAAGGTATGGCGGATTTTTTTATACGAATTTAACTTGAAACGACATAAACAATTCTTGCAAGAAAGGTGAAATCTCGCCGTTCTTTGCCAAACTTTACTATTGGATAAATGAAGAAACATATAAAGACCAAGTTACTTCCTAAGGTTTCTGTGGATACGTTTTTTATTGCGTTGTAAAAACCGTTTACAAATAGTTCGACCGGTTCATTGGAGCTGACGTTCGAGCGATGATCGTTGAATGAATTTGTTGCAGTGAATATAATTTGGATTTTTTTTGTCTTTCTCAGATCCATGGATTATTGAACTACAAGCCAGTATTAGTGGAAGGCTTGTAGAATTAATTGAAATGTCAGGTTAGTTCGGCTTAGCCGTAATATTTACTAAAATTTTACTTGAAATAAACTGCCAGCATGTCAAGGCATTTTGCAGAGCACCACTGCACCAGACTTAAATGGGCTAAAGTACATCGATAGTTTTGATTAAATGGTGTTCATAATCAAAATCACAGGCTGTTGAGATGTTGTTTATGAACATAGAAGTTGTCAGAACACATGAAGTCGCACTGATAACGAAAATTTTCTAGCTTTTAATATTCGCGAGCGTATGTTCTGATCGCTGTGTTGATTCCGTTGAACGAATGCATTGACACTGCAGAAACGCCTCTAGCTTTACTGTCCTATCTTTTTGTGTCAATAAGAACACGTTTCTTCAATTAGAAAGATTTCAAATGGCATGATGTGTCTTTGAAATAGACACATTGTTGTTTTCGAGTTCGGCTTGCTTCCATTTAAAGGAAAATGTTGCAAATTCGCCGACTCGAGCTGAGGTCATTTCGTTGTTGTCATGTCAATTGCACGTTTTATTTTCATTAACTTAATAACGGCAGCTAGCTATTTTCCTTTCCTATTCATATCTTGACATGTTCACGCGATATTTTTTATTTGTATTTATAGCTAGAAATACTCTTAAACCTGCTTGCTTCGAGTAAGTTCACAAAAGAAACAACTTACAAAAAAATATTATGAATAATTAGTGAGCTAGGAATAAGAAGGCTATTTTGAAAGTTGCAAGCATGCCGTTCGACTGTACTTTTCCTCATGAAGTACTTGCCTCGGTTACTGAATAGTTTGTCATGCAAAGTGTGGCAACTTTAGCCAATACTTTAGCATTTTAGATAGTACTTCTTAAACCATCTGGTCGCTTCTGCGATATTTTATTATTTATGAATGTTCATTTGTTGTTGTATTCGGCGGCCATTGCTAGTGATACCCAGGTTCACTTCTCGATTTTTATCTTCTAGCAAGAGATTTCCCCAGATAAATTGACCCGATAAAAATAACTTATATTCCCCCGCATATTCACTGTTTCAAAAACCTTTCTGTTTTGAGAATAGCATTATTTACAGTTTATACATCTTAAAAGAACACGTTGTTTCACACCAAAGTTTCCTAGCTACAAAGACACGTATACTCACATATTTTGAACAGAATATTCGAATGTGAACACATGCATTCGTATTTCTGGTTTTAAAAATCAAATATCCATGTAGGAATATAGTATAAAATATTGTTAATATACAAACATGTCACCGCTTTGGCCAACAAAACATGTTTCAAATTTTCCAAAGCCATATTTATGAAGACACCAATTATTTTATGGCAGACTGAACTTTGTTTGAATTTGTAGCAGGATCAAAAAAGTGCAGTGGAAGAGCAAGTCCAACACTGGTATGTTTGACCTTGGTGTAATATTTTTATGTGAACAGTTACAGGAAGTAACCTGGATATTTCTTAAGTACCTTACTGTAAATAAATATGGAGTGCTATTTATAGTATTTTAGCCTTTCCTTGCTTAAATTTAAGCAGAATTAAAAGCATTATGCTCTTAAAAGCCCCATTCAACAATTTTTAAGGATCACTAACTGAACCATTTCTATAGTATCTTAATGATATTAAAAAAATGTGTGACATTCAGTAAAATTAATCCTTGATAAGAAGTCTCATAATTAAGAATATCAGTCAATAAACAAATGATAATCCTGCAGATATATTGATCGGTGATATGCAATAAATTCAATACTAGGGCTTGTCCATGCAATTAATTTACCAAATCACCAAATAATGCTCTGTATCAAAAGGTGGATAAAAAACAGTGATTTGTTCGTGAAAAAATTGCTGTGGAAAATGTGGTATCAATGCAATCTAGTAATCATGATTTTTTTCTGTGTTGGTGTTATGTACTCAGGTGAATATGATGTTTGTGATGTTACTCTAAGTGTATATCCACACCAACACAGAAAAAAATCCTGATTACTAGATTGCATTGATATCGAAGGAACTATACTCAGTTCCGAAATATCACATACTCGAACTGACCTGACTGCGTAGCTCAGTTGGCAGAGCATTGGGCTAGTATTCCAAAGGTCATAGGTTCTATTCCCACCGTGGCCAGGCATATTTTTCAAGCTTGCCCGGTGTGGATATACACTCAGAGTAACATCCCAAACATCATATTCACCTGAGTACATAACACCAACACAGAAAAAATCTAGACTATTATTATTTTAACTTTAAGTTGCATTGTAATTGACCCAATGCACCCTACTTTATAATTTTACTTTGTGGAATTATCAAAGCTCTGCCCATGTGTGTACTTTATCATTTTTATCTGTCTAACGCCAGATTATTTCACTTGTTACTGGGGAAGCACGGTCTCTCAATAGGTTTATAATGTATTGTAGTGCATTGCTGCTTGGGTAGGAGGTGCAAAAATATGCTGAGGAGAGAGTGCAAGTTTCCTTTGTTTATGTTGAAAATCCATGTGTTCTTTTTAGACACAAGTGTGTTTGGACATGAAGACATCACCTGGAAGTATATCTGCACTTTCTGAAAGTAAAGACAACTGTCTGCCACTTAAAGATGGACTTCGACCACAAAGAAAAAGCAACAAAAGTCGGATTAATCCTGCCAGCCATAGAAAAACAAGGATCAATTCACTAAGGTTAGTAGGTACATTTAACAGAGGGTAAAGAAAGGGAAGGACTTAGAAGAAGTACATATCACCTGCACTGAATGTTAATAATTATTAGGGTGAGGCGGGTAGACCTGAAAACTCGATGTTATTTGAAAACCAATTCGATAGATGTTGTTCTAGGGAAAAAACAGAAAAAAGTCGGAAAAAAACTGTTTGAAACTCAGTGATACTGAAACAAAATTGTAGTATGTTTGTGATGTTACTCTGAGTGGCATCCACACTGGGCAAGCTGAAAAGTTTGCTTGGCCATGCAAAGCAAAAATTTGCTTGGCCAAGCAAACTTTTCAGCTTGCCCGGTGTGGATGCACACTCAGAATGACATCACAAACATCATACTCACCTGAGTGCACATAACACCAACAACACAAAAAATTGTAGTAATTCTTAAAGTGCTTATGAAACGAAATTTTCACCTCATTTTTTATTGTTTGGCTAAAAAGTACTGCTAGAGCGATGAAGAATGACGTTTACAGTTTCTTCATATCTCATCTCATTCTCAAGTTATCGCACTTTCTAAATTTCGAGTTGTGACGTCACTAGTTTGACTTGAGATAATGGCAATAACAAGAAAGTCTAGTATCTTATTGAGTATTTAATAAAATTCAATGAAACTCGGTACACTTAGTGGGTGCACTCATATAAATATTTTTGGGAGGTTATGTGGTTGTCATGGCAACACACTAGTCCTCAGTCTCTTCTTTTCTTTTTCACAAATTTCCCCTGTAGACCTCTTGCAGAGGATGTTTGCATGTTATAATGGTTTAAACTGATCACAATACCGATACGTATGATAGTAATAAGAAACAATTGCAGAAATTACCATTTATTTCGTTGGAAATGGATCATATAGAAATTGGAAGAGAAGGGACTGGGGACGGGTGTGTTGCCATAAC